CCTCCGTCTCCCCTCGGTGCCCGCGGGATATGTGTTGAGCTGTGCCCAGTCTCAGCCCTCACTGCCCTCCAGGATGCGCAGGGAGGGTGCCCAGGCCCTTCCACCGGCTGCCTTTCTGCCACGGCTACTCCTTTTCAGGCACATTCTTCCTACAATTAGCACATGCTCTTTAATTAATTTTCCTCTTTTATTGCTTTGCCCAAATTATCTCGACTCCGGCACCGTTCGTGTGCGCTCGGCGGATAACGCTGCTATTTATGGCTTTCCCTGTCAGTGCTGTGGCTCCGGAGGCTGGGACAGAGACCTCTCCCCTGGGCTGCATCCTGTTGCCAATGCAGGACACAGCCCTGGGACAGGCTGGGAGCTCAGGGGTGGGGAATCATCTGTCCTTGTCCCCATCCTCAGGCCACCCACTCCCTGGCTCTGTGTGGTGGGTGGCAGCTCTTCCCCAGACCTCTGGGCTGGATAAATCCTCCTGGCCACAACCACGGTGATATATCCTTCTGATAGAAAACGGAGCTGAATCAGGCAAAACTGCTGAATTAAATCTGTCTGGAAGAAGCTGTTAAACATGGAGACCTTCTGAACATGAAGGGGAGAGGGATAAAATCCTCTGAAAGCTCCTGAGGATCCTGCCAGCAGAAAGGGGCTGTGGAGAGGTGTGATGAGCAAGGGAAGGATGTTCCCAATGCTCCACGCAGTGGAAACTGAGGTGCAGGGATGTGACAGAGGGCACAGAAGCCGAGTGAGGCAGAGGAGATGAATTCCAGCCACCAGCCAGCACTGGGACACACAGGTCACCCCACGGCCCCCCTCAGTGGGGATGGGGTGACCACCACTGCCAGCTTCAAACTGCAGCTGAGCTGCACAGGAATCCATCCTTCTACCTTTAATGAGATTTCTCCCTTTGAAAATAATCATTACCAATAAACAAATATAGCAGCCAGTGTATATAAGCATCAAATTAAGTAGCTACATGCATTTGTTATATTTGATATAGCCTTGTTAACTGAAATTCCTGGGTTTGGAATACGTATTGATTTCAGCAAACATATATTATTTTACTGTAAGTACCAACAGCCATTGTAGTTAATATACAACAGTTTAATTTAAAATGCATTAGTTTAATAAAAATGCATAAAACAGAAGGGAATTGCATTAGCTTCAATAAAAAATTCAATTTCATAAATATTATCCAGTGTTAAAATGCATTGATTTCCTGGGAAAATGTATTGGTCAGAGGTAATTTACATTGGTTTGGATGGGAACGTCCTGGTGTGTATACATATGTATTAGTTTAGTCAAATGTGTCTGATCACAGAAAAAAATATAGGTTGGAGCAAGGCATATTCGTAAGGAAATGGTGTGGAGCGAGCGGCGGCACGGGCTGGCTCTGGAGCATCCTGGCCCACTGGTGTGGCTGTGCTGGGGCCTGGACACCCCCAAACCAGCTCTGTGGATGCTCAGACTTGGGGACACCACGTTGCTGCCGGGATTCCCGGGACACAGGGAGCCCATTATCAGCCCCGGGCAGGACTTGGCTGGGGCGCAGGGACACGTCTGGCTCAGACTGAGCACACGCCTGGCAGAGAGCGGGGGTTAATCAAATCCTTTTGACTCCGTTATTTATCGAGCTCAAGAGGGGCTGGCCTATTAATTAGAAAGGCTTTTTCATGTAAAACACAGGCTCTTTTGCAGATAAGAAGGGACTGTGCTTGATTCTGCCGTGGCACGGATACGTGTGTTATTCCCTGACATCCATTCACGGGCTGCAGCCACTTCCCACAGCTCTTTTGTTCACTACAGGGCTCCAGAGGCACATATGGACATACAGACATATTTAAAGCACTCAGGTTTTCCTGGGTGCCAATAAGCCCCCTGATATCCACAGTGGGAAAAGGATACAATTCCTGGAGGTGCCTCCGTCCATAGGCTGGACTGGAATCCTGATGGGGAGCAGGATCTGGCCCATGCAGCACAGAGAACTGCAGCTGACAGCAAGAAGTGAGCAGTGGAGCAGAGGCACTGTCTTACAAATTTCAACAGAAATCCAGGGCGCCACCTGCACCCCATCCCATCCCAGATTTCTGTGCCCCTTCGGCACCACCGACCCCTTAAAGCCCCCAGTCACCATCTCATCCCAATTACAACCTGGGCAACACTGGGGAGAGACCCAGGTCTGGCTTCTTCCAGGTTAAGCAGGCAGAAATGCTTGTTCCCAAAAAACCTCATATTCTGGGAGATCTCCACGGCTCCAGGAATGCCTCCTATGCCGCCAGCCATGCCTGGCACGGACATGGAGCCGGGGACGGGAGCGCCCAGGCGGCGCCGGCGGCTCCATGGCCAACCGGTCCCGTTAAACCACCACACATCACTTCCCTGATGCTTATGGATTTTTCCTTAATGCCACAAATTAAGGTAATT